TGAAACAAAAGCAAAAATGAACTTTTGGGACTTCGTCAAGATAAAAAGCTTCTGCACAGCAAAGGAAACAGTCAACAAAACAAAGAGGTAACCCACAGAATGGGAGAAGATATTTGCAAATGACACTACAGATAAAGGGCTGGTATCCAAGATCTATAAAGAACTTCTCAAACTCAACACCCAAAAAACAAATAATCAAGTCAAAAAGTGGGCAGAAGATATGAAAAGACACTTCTCTGAAGAAGACATACAAATGGCTAACAGACACATGAAAAAATGTGCATCATCATTAGCCATCAGGGAAATCCAAATCAAAACCACAGGGAGATACCACCTTACACCAGTTAGAATGGCAAAAATGGACAGGGAAAGAAACAACAAATGTTGGAGGGGTTGTGGAGAAAGGGGAACCCTCTTACACTGTTGGTGGGAATACAAATTGGTACAGCCACTTTGGAAAACAGTGTACAGGTTCCTCAAAAATTTAAAAATAGAGCTACCCTATGACCCAGCAACTGCACTACTGGGTATTTACCCCAAAGACACAGATGTAGTGAAAAGAAGGGCCATATGCACCCCAATGTTCATAGCAGCAATGTCCACAATAGCCAAAGTGTGGAAAGAGCCGAGATGCCCTTCAACAGATGAATGGATAAAGAAGATGTGGTCCATGTATACAATGGAGTATTATTCAGCCATCAGAAAGGATGAATACCCAACTTTTACATCAACATGGATGGGACTGGAGGAGATTATGCTAAGTGAAATAAGTCAAGCAGAGAAAGTCAATTATCATATGGTTTCACTTATTTGTGGAACATAAGGACTAGCATGGAGGACATTAGGAGAAGGAAGGGAAAAATGGGGGTGGGGGAATTGGAGGGAGAGATGAACCATGAGAGACTATGGACTCTGAGAAACAAACAGGGTTTTAGAGGGGAGGGAGGAGGGGGGATTGGTTAGCCCGGTGATGGGTATTAAGGAGAGCACATACTGCATGGAGCACTGGGTGTTATACTAAAACAATGGATCATGGATCAAAAACCAATGATGTATTGTATGGTGACTAACATAACATAGTAAAATTTAAAATAAAATAAAATAAAATAAAGTCTTTATATCCTTGTAGATCTTTTGCTTAGATGATCTGTCCATTTCAGTGAGGGGGCTTTAAAGTCTCCCACTATTATTGTATTGTTGTTGTTGTGTTTCCTTGCTTTTGTTATTAATTGGCTTATATAACTGGCCGCTCCCATGTTAGGGGCATAGATATTTACAATTGTTAGATCTTCTTGTTGGATAGACCCTTTAAGTAGGATATAGTGTCTTTCCTCATCTCTTATTACAGCCTTTGGTTTAAAATCTAATTTGTCTGATATAAGGATTGCCACCTCAGCTTTCTTTTGGTGTCCATTAGCATGGGAAAGTGTTTTCCACCCCCTCACTTTCAATCTGGGGGTGTCTCTGGGTCTAAAATGAGTCTCTTGCAGAGAGCATATCGATGGGTCTTGTGTTTTTATCTAATCTGATAGCCTGTGTCTTTTGATTGGGGCATTTAGCCCATTTACATTCAGGGTAACTATTGAAAGATAGGAATTTAGTGCCACTGTATTGCCTGTAAAGTGACTGTTACTGTATATTGTCTGTATTTCTTTCTGGTCTATGTTACTTTGAGGCTCTCTCTTTGCTTAGAGGACCCCTTTCAATATTTCTTGTAGGGCTAGTTTTGTGTTTGCAAATTCCTTTAGTTTTTGTTTGTCCTGGAAGCTTTTTATCTCTCCTTCAATTTTCAATGACAGCCTAGCTGGATATAGTATTCTTGGCTGCATATTTTTCTCATTTAGTGCTCTGAAGATATCCTGCCAGTCCTTTCTGGCCTGCCAGGTCTCTGTGGCTAGGTCTTTTGCCAGTCTAATGTTTCTACCCTTGTAGGTTACATATCTCTTCTCCCGAGCTGCTCTCAGGATTTTCTCTTTGTCTATGAGACTCGTAAGTTTTACTATTAGATGTTGGGGTGTTGACCTATTTTTATTGATTTTGAGAGGGGGTCTCTGTGCCTCCTGGATTTTGATGCCTGTTTCTTTCCCCAAATTAGGGAAGTTCTCTGTTATAATTTGCTCCAATATACCTTCTGCCCCTCTCTTTCTTTCTTCTTCTGGGATCCCAATTATTCTAATGTTTCATCTTATGGTATCACTTATCTCTCAAATTCTGCCCTTGTGATCCAGTAGTTGTTTATCTCTCTTTTTCTCAGCTTCTTTATTTTCCATCATTTGGTCTGATTCTCTCTTCTGCCTCATTTATCCTAGCAGTTAGAGCCTCCATTTTTTATTGCATCTCACTAATAGCCTTTTTGATTTTGACTTGGTTAGATTTTAGTTCTTTTATTTCTTTAGAAAGGGTTTCTCTAATAACTTCCATGCTTTTTTCAAGCCCAGCTAGTATCTTTAAAATCATCATTCTGAACTCTAGTTCCAACATCTTACTAATGTCCATACTGATTAGCTCCCTGGCAGTCGGTACTGCCTCTTATTCTTTTTGTTGATGTGATTTTTTTCCATCCTTTTCGAGAGGAGAGTAGATGAATGAGAGAACAAAATGCTAACAGGGTAACAACAACCCCAGAAAATATACACTAAACAAATCAGAAAATACCTGAAACCAGGGGGGAAAAAAGGGAAAGAAAGAAAAAAGAAAAAAAGAAAAAGAAAAAGCTAAAAACAAACAAAAACAAAACAAGAAAAAAACAGAATATGATCAGATATGATCAGGCTGGTGCATAGATCAGTGCCACATACTACATTTTGGGTGTATTTTGGTCTGTTAGAAGAAAGTGCCTCCCAAAATTTTAAAGGAAGAAAAACTTATATATGTACAAAAATAAGGGTTAATGCGATGAAGGGATGGAATATGACTGTAAAGATGAAAATTATAAAAGATTTTATAAATGGAATTGATAAGAAATTGGTTGAAAAAAGAAAGAAGAGGATTTTTTTTAAAAAAAGGAGAGAATGTGATCACGCAGGAGACTAGAACAAAGCCATATACTAGAGATTTAGGGTATATTTTGATCTGTTAGAAGAAACCATATCTCAAAATTTTAAGGCGAGAACAACTTATATATATATATATATATATACCAAAAATAAGGGTAACTACTATGAAGGGATAGAATATGACTCTAAAAATGAAAAATAAAAAAGATTTTTTAAAAAAGAGATTGATAAAGTGTTGGTTGAAAAAGGGAAAAAGAAAAATTCAAAAAAAAAAGGAAAAAGAAAGTTAAAAAAAATTAACTTTGAAAGACTAAAGAATCATGGGGAAAAAGCCATGAATTCTATGTGCAGTATTTCCCTAGTGCTGGAGTTCTGCCAATCTCATTGATCAGTAAACTTGGTCTTGGCTCACTGTTCTTGCTGATCTTCTGGGGGAGGGACTTGTTGCCGTGGTTCCCAAATGTCTTTGCCAGAGGTGGAATGGCCCCGCCCTTGCCAGTCTGGGCTAAGTAATCTGCTGGGATTTGCTCTCCAGAGATTTTGTTCCCTGCAAGTTTTCTGCACAGCTTTGGAGGACAAGAGTGAAAACGGCGGCCTCCCAATCTCTGCCGGTGGAGCTGAAAACTTGGTGTCCTGCTCCTCAGTGAGCCCCAGAGAAAAGCAATCACTCCTGTCTCCTCGGTCTCCGACCACACTCCGTGCTCACCCAGCCTGTGACCCAGCATTTCTATCTCTGGCACCCGACTCGGTGTGGAGTCTCCAAACCCAGAAGATCCCTGTGGTGCACTCCCATGCCACCCCTCCTAGGGGTGGAAGGGGAGTCTCCCCAGATCTCCCGCTTGTTGGGTTCCTGCAGGAAGAACAGTGGCCCGACTGTGCCTCGGATCATGGTTTATGACAACCCCGAGCTGAGAGCCCGCGCCTTGGCTCTGTCTCTGCAGCCGGCTTCCCTGCTCCGATACCTGGGAGTTCTGCTGCACTCAGGCACCCCTAGTCTTCCTGTGACCCCAAGCGTCCTGAGACCACACTGTCCCTCAAGGATTCCACCCCCTGCTTAGCCACTGGAGCGACGTCCCTCAGTGGAGCCAACTTCTAAAAGTTCCGATTTTGTGCTCTGCTGCTCTATCACTTGCCAGAAGCGGCTGAGGGAGGACCCCTCCCCCGCCGTCTATCCTCCTGAATATCTCCTCAGATTCACTTCTCTGCATGTCCTACCTTCCAGAAAGTGGTCGCTTTTCTGTTCGTAGAGTTGCTGCTCTTCTTTTCTTCGATCTCCTGTTGAGTTCATAGGTGTTTAGAATGGTTTGATCCCTATCCAGCTGAATTCCTGGGACCAGACGAAATCCAGGTCTCCTACTCCTCCGCCATCTTGCTCCAAGGTATACAATCTTAGTTCTTAGTCTGAGGATACCCATGGGTTTGATACAGGAGATGTGGGAGAGTACTGATTACTGATTACTCAGAATGCCATCCCTTTACTTGTGTGGAGAAAAAAACTATAAAGAATTACATGAAAATATTAACAGTGGTTGTCTATCTATGGTGAGAGTTCAGGACAATTTCATTTGTACTTTTCCATGTTTTCAAAATGTACTATTATTAATACATATTGCTTTTATCCAAATATATGGCTGTTGGGTTAACATATGTTAAGATATATGTAGTGTATGTATATATGCCATATACGTCAATATATTTTGTATCAATATATATTTATATATGATTCTTACTTGGCTAATGTTTTCTCTAGATTCTTCTCAAGTTGCTGCCTTGGCTAAAACTGCCAGAATCTTTTTCAGACTCTTCTAGTGTTTACCAAACCATGAAATCTGGGTAGAATGTCTTTTCATGTGAGTGGGATTAGTTTTGCTTATGTGTTTTTATCATGAGAGGAATTTGCCGAGATTTGAGAATAGCGTGGAGACTTCTCTCCCCCATAATTGGTTTTATCTGTTAACTTTATAGAATGAGTAAATCTCACTATCTCTCTGCCATCTTTTCCAGGGAGTTCTTAGCCTCAAATTACAGTGAAACCTACTACTCCACAAGAGGAGAGGCCATCACCAGCTATCCTTCCACCATGGTATCTTATGGAACCTTCCTATTTCTCTTTTCTGAAATTTCCTCATGTGATTTTGAAACCCAATTTAGCTTTATACGAAGCTTCAGAAAATGTATGTCAGAAATGAATCTTACATTGAGTACTGTCATTGAATTATCCTAGAATAGAAAACATGACCCTCCAGACTCTAAAGGAAGCTGATTACTGCCTAACAAGCAACTCAATGACTGTTAATGTATTTTTCTTTACTAAACTGACTTCTATGTACCCAAAAGGGTGTTAAGTCTGGAGGAAGGGCAAAGCAGTATACAAAAGCAGTATCAGACACCCTGATAAGACTGTCATCAAGCTAAATGGATAAAACCTAAAGACATGAAACAGTTTTAAAACCTACATCTAATTGACCCTTACGTGAGTCATATTCCCTGGCCTGGGACTTCTGATGCACCAACATTGAGGTCTTTCCTATTTCCAAATGAGTTTTTGTTCATTTATCATTAATATTATTCCAGTGGATACAAGTTCTACTTTTACAGTCTTCCTTCCCTTTCCTCTGTAGCCTTATTTTTTTAACATTTTATTATTTTTTTTACTTTTTTCCACTTTTTAAATTTTATTTATTTTTTTATTATTATTTTCTTAAATTTTATTATGTTATGTTAGTCACCATACAATACATCATTAGTTTTTGATGTGGTGATCTATGATCCATTGTTTTAGTATAACACCCAGTGCTCCATGCAGTATGTGCCCTCCTTAATACCCATCACCAGACCAACCAATCCCCCCTCTCCCCTCCCCTCTAAAACCCTGTTGCCTTCTAAACAAAGATGACATTGTTCTCTTTTATCAAAAGTATACTTTCTGAAACTTATTTCCTCTATGTAAGGCATGAGTCAACTATGAAATGTAAGTCATCATGCAATCTTTATAAAATAGAAATGGAAAAAAACTGAATAACATTATTTTATGCAAGGGGTGGTTGTTGGCCTGTGAGGGTCTGAGGTCACCTGGAATCATGCCACACATAGGCAGGAGTTGAACAGATGGATATAATGGGAAAGGTGATTACCTGACAGAACCACTGTAGGCAGAGCACCAAGTAGGGAGTGACAAGGATACCAACTTGACTGAAGCACAGCAGCAGGAGAGAAGGGCTTGAGGAGGCCTGGTGGGAGAGTGAGACTTAATTTTAGCAATCATCAAAAACATTGGCATGATTTCATAGGAAACTGGAGGAAAATTGTAATAACAACCCAAGAATGGTAGTTTGGTAGAAATTTTAGGATGGATTAAAGGAGAAATATTTATAAGGAAAAAGGTCACATTTCTGAGGCTGGATTCATCAACTAAGAGCTGCTAAATTTGTGAGGGAAGAATCCGTATACTGCTTAACAAAATGTAATCATGCAATTAAAAGGATTCTAAAGGAGTTTCAAAATTTTCCAAATGACAGGATGCAATGAATGAATACATGAATATGTGTACAATTTGTGACAATGAAATGCTGATGTATTGTGAACATAAAATATGGATAAGTTAATATTTATGTAATATGAATATGTGTACTTATATCAATTGCCTCTTCCTCTTTTTTAGGATCACTGTTTTTACCAAGGATCCATCATACATGAATTCGATTCTGCTGCCAGTATCAGCACATGTAATGGTCTGAGGTATTGCACAAGTATCTAGTTTGTTTATAAGTTTGCTTAATGGATTTTCAGAGACATTTGCTTCTCATCTTTCTAACAACCCTATAAATAGAAACATTAATGGGAAAAAGCTACTGTATATTTTCACCATGAATATCCATTCTAGCCCATTGTTACATTCATTTTTGACAAAAAGATGTCTAATGCACAGCCCTAAGCAAGACAAGTTTTTCAGTATACGATCAAGGGATTCAGAGTTAGAAGACTGCTGGGAATCCTCTAGCCTGTTCTCTCATGTTAGAGACACTGAAATCAGAGACTTGCCTCTGAGCATACAATTTGCTGGTGATAGAATTCAATCCAAAAACCAGGCTTCCTGATTCTAGTCCTGTGAATCACCACACAACATTTCACACATTTTTAATAATCAGGAGTTAGAGTCTTTAGAAATTAAAGTTAGAAGTAAAGCCTATTTCAGTTCTCTGTAGATCTTGGGCTTAAGAGTAAAGGAGGAAATGTGGGGTAAAGGGTAGAAGAACAAGAAACTTCCACCTTCATGTATGTGTACTTTACTTGAGTAGATCCCAATATATTCAAGAATAAGAACACCTTTAATGAGAAAATTTCTAGATAATAGTTATTTTACTGTCATATATTTACTCTACAATTAATGCATGATGGACATAAAAGATTCACAAAATGTTTGCTATAACTCTGAGACTTCAAAGTAGGAATTGAACTGTCAAGTTTCTGAAAATCTAGATGAGTTGACTCTTACAAAAATTATTAATTCAAAGGCCACATGTCACTTCATCTTTTTATCACTCAGAATACCTGAATACATGATCATGAGGCCTTGGTCTTATAGTTTCCATTCTTAAATAGGTGAAGTCAATAAAATGGAACAAAAGAATAATTGTGAGAAATATAGAGGTAAAATGGAATACATCTTGAACATACATCACATCTCCATTTTCTGTAGGGGATTCTTCAGGGTATATGACCAAAGGTACCTCATTGAACCAGTGAAATATTCAGATGAGGGACAACATTTGGTGTTCAGATATAATCCAAGGATACAGTATGCTGCCAATTATTCTTGTACAGAACTCAATTTTACCAGGACAAATGATTCAAAGGATGATATTAAAATCATGGAAGACCTCAAAATAGAAGTAAGTGCTTTATTTTTAAATCATCTTAATGCCAGGAAAAATGTCTCTTATTTCCTTTTTCATTTCAAAACAGAGAGATGAGCCCAACTAATGAAGTGTATGTGCTACCTGAGTCTTACTCTTCATTGTTTGAAATCTAAAATGTCAAACATTTTTTTTACCATTTTTTTTTTTTTTTACTATTACCATGTTCATTCCCAGGGCACCTGGGTGGCTCAGTTGGTTAAGCATCTGCCTTCAACTCGGGCTATGGTCCCAGAGTCCTGGGATGGAGCCCCGCATCAGGCTCCCTGCTCAGCAGGGAGTCTGCTTCTCCCTCTCCCTCTGTCCCTTCCCCTACTTGTGCTCGTGCTCTCCCTCTCTCTCTAATAAATAAATAAAATCTTTAAAAAAAAGAAAAAGAAAATGTTCATTCCCTACAGTAAATCTTAATTCGTCCCATCAAATTTTAAGGAAAGGGAATATTTACAACCGTACATAGAGATTTATAGCATTAGGGCTATAAGTGGTGGAAAGAATGAAATTTGCAATGTCTTGAAAGCTCTCCTAGATAATGTCTTCCCTCGTCTTCACTGCCATTTTTTCAGTTGGGGGGAGTTGATGACAAGTCAGGGTCTCCCCCTTTCATCAGTCCAAATATTCTAATTATTAATTATTAAAGATAAGTAAGTAATAGCAACTTCAATTTCTGGTGGGATGACTGCACAATGAGAGTCCTCTGTGTTTTAGGCTTTCCTGTACAATTAGTTCATATCACTTCAAATCCCCAGTAGGTGTTAGCCTTTAAGATCCATGAGTGCCCATCTTCTTCACATATCCATGATCCAGATTGTGTCGGAAACTTACTAGGTGCCTAACAGATGTTTCTGATTTACTCAATCAATTGATACATAATTAGTTAGTTCACACACAGAATGACTTAGTTAAATCTTTGTACAATATGCCTCTGGTTTATACTCAGATAATATGCATGCATCTCAATGCATAACACTGAGAGCTGAAAACAGAATTTTCTGGAATTGGTGACTTATAAAATAAAAGATCTATAATATAAATGTATAACTTTTATACATTTCTTTGGAATTGAGGCTACTGTAAAGTAAGAGATTGGGAGACAGGAAAGGAATAGAAGGAGTACAGTCAGTCCTACTAGCCAGTCATTCCTATGTTTTGTTCTCCACTATTGGTAAGTCTTTTTTATATGAGCTTACTTAGTAAGCATTTACTTTATAAGTAAAAAAAAAAAAAAAAACTAAACATTAAAAAAATGTATTCATTATTCTTTATTTATAACTATTTATTTATTTAGAGTATAACACACAATGTTACATTAGTCTCAGGTATACAACATAGTGATTCAACATCTCCATACATCAAGCTACACACCACAAGTGTAGCTACCATCTTTCACCATACAATGCTACTAAATACCATTGACTATATTCCTCTGCTGTGCCTTTTATTCCATGACTTATTTGTTCCATAACTGGACACCTGGGTCTCCCACTCCCCTTCACCCATTTTGCCCATCCCTACACCCCCTCTTCCCCCTGCAACCATCAGTTTATTCTCTGTATTTGTAGGTCTGATTCTGGTTTTTGTTTGTTTATTTGTTTTGAATTTTAGATTCCGCATATGCGTGAAGTCATATACTATTTGTCTTCCTCATTCTGACTTATTTCACTTAGCATAATACCCTCTAGATCCACTCATATTGTTGCAAATGGCAAGATTCCATCCTTTTTTATGGCTGCATAATATTCGTGTGTGTGTGTGTACTACATTTTCTTTATCCTTTCATCTACCGATAGGTCCTTAGGTTGCTTCCTTATCTTGGCTATTGTAAATAATGTTGCAATAAATATAACTCTTATTTTACCTGAAAGACTAAACAAAAAAGGAAGGATATTCAAATATTGAATATTGTTTCAGGTTTATTAAAATCTGATATACAGGGGCACATGTTTTAATAATACATTGGGTTTTATTTAGATAAATTCCTGGAATTATTAGTTATACTCCTGTACCTGACTTTCCCGTATCAATAATATTAACATTTCTTACCATGAAAATTGTAACTTAAAACATTAAAATGAGGAACATTAACCACACTTCATTAAATTTTTCATAAATTTCCAGAATGTCCATGAAGAAAAGTATGTTGAACTGTTCATTGTTGCTGATGGTAATGTGGTAAGTTTTCAGATGAACATTTGCTCTTCATTTATGCTTATAAAACTATAGTTGTGATCCTAAAAAAGAGGAAAAAAAAGTATTTTAATAAGAAGTCCATTTGGGCTTAATGTTGTTTTTAGCTTCCCCAAACAGATTTATATAAGAGATGATAAGGTCCTTTGGCAGTATAGCAGACTAAGACAAAATAGAATTCTCATCCCTATTATGAATATATGGAAATGATGAACAAAGTATACAAAATTGAAAATATGTGCACAAACTATAGTTTAGCTCAGGAAAAAAAAAAAAAAAAAACACAAGAAATCTCCAAGTCCTAAAAATGAGAAGAGAACCTCTGTCAAAGTAGTAAGTAAAATTCAAAGGCTTGGTGACATGTAATATATAGAACATATTGCATAATGCCCAGAGCCATAAAGAGCTGCCCCATCTCTGAAAAGAGAACTGGAGAATATCTCTCCACTGAAACTGTAAAGAGAAAGGGAATGTTCTGTCTGTCTGTAACAATGGGCAGGGAACATATTATGCATGAGAAAGCAGAAATCCTAAACTTGTGTCATGCAATGATGTGGAGCATGATATATTTTTCTTTAGATACAGAAATGCCAAGCAAAGCTTTCAACATAAAAACTGATTGAAAACTTGATAAACTGTTAAAGCTCAAGTCAAAAATGCCCTATAAAGATATTTTCATAATCCAAGATAAAACTAATCACGTGAGGAGGAATCAACCAACATAATGGGAAGTAGAATAAGTTCTCCAAGAACTGAAAATTATCCACTGATATTTCAGATTATACACCTAACAAGAAAGTAGGAAAAGATATGCAACAAGAAATAACAGAGTTACAGGGAGAGTAAGGTTTTTTTAGTTCCCCTCCAGTAGGAATGTTGGAGTTTTTTTCTCCAAAAGTAAGAATCAGATACATTTATTTTTACTGTCAATAAATTTTCTTTTGACAGATTAACTGAAAATTTTAGCCATCCTAATAAGACAAAATAAATGAGATCTACGTTAATTTAAAAGAAAGACACACATTGTTGCATTTTTTTAAAAAAGGAGAAACTTCAGTTATCCATTTTTTTAAAAAGGTAATTGGTAAAATTTAGGCATCAGATAGGCTTACATTAACATGTGTTTGAGAACATGTTAACTAACTTTTAAAAGTGCTAAAATAAGCTTTCTTTATAATAATTTATTAGAAAGAAGTAAGAACGATGTATTAAATTTAATATTTACCCCAGATACCAGGTAAAGGTTTGCTTGATATTATTTTAGGGGCATTAAACTGGACTTTTACATGCATAGCTCTTACATATGTTGCCTTAATATTGTCTTTAAATATTTAAGGGGTGTTTTTTGAGAAGTTCCTATAGTAAATCATCTATTTTCACTTAACAAATAGCTAATGATTGTCTAATATACTAGATTCTGAGTGTTAGATATATATATTTATATTATATATGCACACATGCATACATGCATGTGTTAGCTGAGTATAAAGAGCAACAGCAAGAACAATGTAGAGTTAGTGTATTCTGGTAAGATGGAATAGAAAAACGAAAGCAACTTTGGGAAAATATTTCAAGGTACTGACATATTTTGAAGACAGTATGATGAATTTTAATCAGCTAAATAGAGTAAGGATATAGATGTATACACCCAGATATAACAAGTTGAAAGAATAAGCAGAACACAAGTGTCTATATGCTGAGGAAGACTAGCCATATAATAAAGACTTGTCAATAGAATGCAAAGACCCCATACCCCTTTCTTTCCCATACCCCCATGGGTGGATATCACTGACTGATAAAGTACCCTATCACTGTGATCTCTAAGATAGGCTCAGGATCTTTCTCAACGATGTATTTTAGGCAAGCACTACCAATTGGTCACTAAGAATCCTGGTGTGAAACTATATTTGCCATCCAGAACTTAAGGGGATGGTGGAAAAAAAGACAGCTCTGTACAATAAAACACTAGGAGTGATAGGATATTAGCAACCAAGGTGATAAGAAATTTCTTAAAAGACAAAATGTTCAATATTAAAGGTAGACAAGATGACCAGGAAGATGAGGAAAATGTGTTCAACAGATTGGATAACTAGGAGGCCATTTATGTTCCTGTCAAGAATAGTTTTAATGAAATAGAGGCAGTTAAACTAATGAATAGTAGATTGAGGAATGAATGGGAAATGAGAAGTGAGGAGAGTCTAATGTTATATCTTTGAGGTATTTAGATATATGAGATAACAGGAGAGCAATGGAGCAAGTAACTGGAGGATACTTGCAGGATTCAGAAAAGCCATGTTTCTTTTACTTTTTATTATGAAACAAGCTTGATCATTTGGCATTTATCCCTACAGGATACTTTTGTTATTTTTATAAGGTATATTTTATCAGGTCTAAATTGATCATGCTAAGAACAAGGTCCTGGTGGCACAAATGGAAAATCCATTTGTTAGAAGGGGAAAAAAGACAGAATAGGCTGGAGGAGGAAAGTCCACTTTGTCTTCTCAGCCTTTCTCTGGAGAGAAGGGGGAGCCACAATTTCCTGTCTTTCTCCATCACATCTCTGGCTTTAGGGTGGTCCTTGATTACATTCCTTAGTTTGTGACAACCATGAACATAGAAGGGCTGATAAAGTATCTGCTTTATTTGCAATATAATGGTTTCTGTAGAGCTGTAATAAATTTTGTTTCATCAGCATGATAAATATGGACTCTAAAGAACACTTATTAGTTGGTTTAATAAATCAATGTACTGTAATATATTGTAATGTGAAAAGGGAATAAGGTTATGAAGAAAACCTTAAAGTAGTGCTAAGCTGAAGCATGTCATTAGAAACTGCTATATCTAGTTATTTGATATCAAAAATATAATTCTGTATAATTTGCCCAGATTGTTAGCTGGCCAGAAAGAATGCCAATAAGTCCCCGCCATCCTTGGAAATATCTCATAGTGAGTGAAGTATTTTGTTGAGTTTTTATTCATCTCCTATTATTAATGAATGTTGATCTGATGTTTTATTTCCAGTATCAAAGGAATAATCATCCTCACACTAAACTGAGGAACAGAATTTGGGGAATGGTCAATTTTGTCAACATGGTAAGATCTAATACAGTTTGAATCAAGCTAAAAGTGCAAAATAGAAGAAACCTTTTAAGATAGATAGCTGTTGGATTTTGTGGTAATCTCAATATTGAGACAGCCCAAAATACAAAAATTCACCATGTGTATTAATTAGCCAAAATCCATGAAAAATTCACAGCAATAAATGAACCACAGCACTGAGGCTTTGGTTTTCTAAGTAAATGACATTTAATATTTAAGGAGGTTTCAAAGATTGGTTACTAATCACAAAATTTATAAAGCACTGTATAAAGAATATTCATATTATTGCATAAATCAAATCCACTAATGCATTTAAAATCACTGTTCTATAACCTAGCATTGTTGGAGAGCTTGTTTCTGCTTCACCCTCAACTTCAGGCCTTTATCAAAGGCCAATGATCAATGTCTCCACTCACATTCTTATCTCTTCTTCAATAGTAATCTGTTCTTATTTGTTACTCAGTGATTGCTAGCCTAGTTATGGGACCCAGAGTGTTTTGTTGCCCTGATCTATCCTGCCTCAGGAAAGCTCTGTCATCCATGGGTCTTTGGGTAGATTATTCTCACTGTGTTCTTCCTTCATTGGTAGGAGACATTGAATGCTCTGACCTTAGGACAGCTTCCTGCCTCTCCTCCAGGGGCAGAAGGTTTTTTTTTTTTTTTTTCTTTTCTTTCCCTTTCTTTCAGCAATAATCAGTTTTCACTTGAGTTCTGGGAACATAAAAAAAATGGCCCACTCAACAATTGATATGTCATCCAGACAGATAACCAATAAACAGTGGTTTTGAACAACAGTATAGACCAAATGAAGCCAACAGGTATATACAGGATATTCCATCCAAGAGCAACAGAATACACCATTTCTTCTCAAGAGCAGATGGAATATTTCATAGTATATTATATAGCAGGCCACAAAGCAAACCTCAACAAATTCAAAAAGATGGAAATTATATCAAGTACAATGACAGCAAGATTACTGGAAAATTTATAAATATGTGGAAATTAAAGAACACATTCCTGAACAATAAATGGATCAAAGAATAAATGAAAGGTAAAATCAAAATAAAATCTTGATACTAACAAAAATGGAAACAAAACATATCAAAACTTATGAGATGCAGCAAAAGCAGCTCCAGGAGGAAAGTTTGTAGTTGTAAATGCATACATACATCAATTAAAAAGAAAATAGCAAATAAACAACTAAAGTTATACCTTAAGGAACTACAAAAAGAAGAACAAACTAAGCCCACAGTTAGCACAAGGAAAGAAGTAATAATGAGATTAGAACAGAAAAAAAATATTGGCAGAAGCTTAGTGCCTTTGTGTCTCTGGAGAATAAGAGTCTGGTAGGTTTAAAGATGTTCCCAAAGCAACAGTTTTTCCTGTCCTTCAGGCCTATACCACAAAGGGAGGGTCTCTCTAGTCTCCCACTCTGCCCTCCATGGTTTTTTTTTAAAGATTTTATTTATTTATTTATTTGACAGAGACAGAGACAGCGAGAGCAGGAACACAAGCAGGGGGAGAGGGAGAGGGAGAAGCAGGCTTCCCACTGAGCAGGGAGCCCGATGTGGGGCTCGATCCCAGGACCCTGGGATCATGACCTGAGCCGAAGGCAGTCGCTTAACCGACTGAGCCACCCAGGCGCCCCTGCCCTCCATGGTTTAATACACATCCAGAGGAGGCTCATGGAGAAGATTCTGAGAGTAGGTGTGAAATTCCTTATGTCTGTGTCTTTCAGAAGGTCCTATATGCTCATTTTATCCCACACTTACCCTTTAGCAATTCCTTACAAATGTCTTGTGAATTCTTCTTATGTCTTATATGGTGCTCAGCATCTCTTTTTATCATGCTCTGCCACTGGGAGATGCTCTAGTACCATCTCTCCCCACAGGAGGAAATCTTTCCTTAGATTTCAGGCTACTATTTGCCCTGTTTACCTCAACTAATGGTCTGATATATGACTTTGTAGATTCTCTGCTTTTTCTTTTTGTCAGGGTAGAAACAACATTCTTTCCAACTTTATACATCTTAGCCAGAAGTAAAATTTCTCTGAACTTTAAATCTATGTCTATGGAAATTAAAAATCCTCCCCATATTATTCTAAAAGGTAGGAACAATGTGGAGTGGAATGGTTCTATCTCATAGTTATCTCCGTTTTCTCCTGTTTCTTTTTATTGATTGATTGATAAGGGTTTTTGTAAGTTTATTCATGACTTGGGTCTAATCCTATTTTTCCAATAATTCTTTCAGGTTTTGTAACCCTCTTTTCTCCTATCAAGGTTTTTAGGCATTTTTTTCCAGTTTTATTGAGAAATAACGGACATACACTGCTGTATAGTATATGGCATACAGCATAATGGTTTGAGTTACATAAATTGTGAAATGATTACCACAGTAGGTTCAGCTAACATCTATCTTCTCAAATAGATACAATGAAAAGAAAAACCCAAAAGAATAAGGGAAAAAAAAATTCTTGTGATGGGAACTCTAGGTATCCACTCTTTTAAAAACGTTCCTATCCGTCATACAGCAGTGTTAGCTGTAGTCATCATGTTGTACTCTCTAGTACTTATTTATCTTATCCCTGGAAGTTTGTACCTTTTCACCACTTTCCTCCAATTTCCCCCTCTCTCTACACACCACCTGTGGTAACCACAAGTCTAATAACTTTTCCTATGAATTTTTTTGTTTTGTTTTTTAAAAATTCCATATGTAAGTGAGATCATATACTGTTTGTCTTTCTCTGCCTATTTCACTTAGTGTAATACCCTCTAGGGTAATCTATATTATCAAAAATGGTAGGATATCCTTGATTTTTTATGGCCGAATAATATTCCACTGATGTATCTACTACAACGTCTTCCATTCATCCATTGATGGACACCTAGACTGTTTTCATGTTTTGATTATATAATAATGCTTATATAAACATAGGAGTGCATATATCTTTTTGAATTAGTGCTTTTGTTTCCTTTGATATGTTCCCAGAAGTGGAATTGCTGGATCATATAATAGTTATTTTTTAAATTTTTGATGATCTTCCGTACTGTTTTCCATAGTGGCTATACCAATTTACAATCCCACCAACAGTGCACAAGCGTTCACTTTTCTCTACATCCATAACGGTATTTGTTGTCTCTTGTTTTTTTTTTTTTTTTTTTTTAGATTTTTTTTTTATTTTTTTATTTGACAGAGAGAGATAGCGAGAGAGGGAACACAAGCAGGGGGAGTGGGAGAGAGAGAAGCAGGCTTTCCTCTGAGCAGGGAGCCCGATGCGGGGCTCGATCCCAGGACCCTGGGATCATGACCTGAGCCAAAGGCAGACGCTTAATGACTGAGCCACCCAGGCGCCCCTGTCTCTTCTCTTTTTTATGATGGCCATTCTAACAAGCATGAGACGATATCTCATTGTGATTTTAATTCACATTATCTTAATGACTAGTGATGTTGAAAATCTTTTCATGCACTTGTTGGCCTTTCATGTATCTTTTTTGAAGAAATGTCTATTCACTTACTTTGCCCATTTTTGAATTAGATATTTGTTTTTTTGAGTTAATGAGTTGTTTATGTGTGCCAGATATCAACCCCTTGTCAGATATATGGCTTGTAAATATATTTTCCCATTCCATAAGTTGTCTTTTCACTTTTTTACTGGTTTCTTTTGCTGTGCAGAAGCTTTTTAGTTTGATGCAGTCCCACTTCTTATTTTATTGCTTGTGCTTTAGGCATCATATCCAAACAATCATTACCAAGGCCCATGTCAAGGAGCTTTACTTCTATGTTTTCTTCTAGGATTTTCATAGTAAAACTCAATTTAAGTCTTTAGTCCATTTTGAGTTAATTTTTGTGAATAGTATAAGTTAGTAATTGTGTATTGTGAATACACAATTGACACAGTGCCATTTATTGAAGAGACTGTGCTTTCTATTAAGTATTCTTGACTTCCTTGTCAAATATTAGTTGACTGTAAGGGACACCTGGGTGGCTCAATCAGTTGAGCTTCCGACTCTTGGCTTCAGTTCAGGTCATGATTTCAGGGTCATGGGATTGAGCCCCACATGGGGCTCCACACTCAGCGGGGAGTCTACTTCCCCTATCCTTCTCCCCTCTCCCCACTCACACACACTCTCTCTCTCTAAAATAAGTAAGTGAATCTTTAAAAAATATTAGTTGACTGTATATGCTTGGGTTTATTTCTGGGCTCTGGATTCTGTTCCATTGGACTATTTGTCTGTTTATATGCCAGTACCATACTGTTTTGATGACTTTAGATTTATAGTATAACTTAAGATCAGTAAGTGTGATGCTCCTGCTTTGTTTGTCTTTATCAGGATTTCTTTGACTATTTGAGGTGTTTTGTGGTTCCATATAAACTTTAGGAGTGCTTTTTCTACTTCTGTAAAAAATATCATTGGAATCTTGATAAAGATTGCATTGAATATATAAATGGCTTTCAAAAATATAAAATAAATGGCTTTCAGTAGTATTGATATTTTAACAATATTAATTCTTCCAATCTATGAACACAGGACAGCTTTGCATTTATTTATGTCTTCTTTGATTTCTCTTATCAACTTATCATTTTTAGCATAGGTATCTTTCACCTCCTTAGTTAAATTTATTCCTAAAATTTTATTGTTTTTGACGTTCATGTATATGGGATGAATCTCTTTATTTCTTTTCCAAAAATGTCTTTGTTATTGTACAGAAATGCATGTTTGCATGTTAATTTTATATCCTGTGACTTTACTGAATTCATTGATTAGATCTAACAATTGTTGCTTGTCTTTAGGATTTTCTATATTTAAAATCATGACTGAAAATAGAGGCAATTTTACTGGTTCCTTACCAATTCTGATACCTTTAATTTCTTTTTCGTGTCTGATTGTTCTAGCTAGGACTTCCAGTACTATGTGGAATAGGGAGGGGTGGTAACAGTGGACATTCATGTTCTTTTTTTTTTTTTTTTTTGAGAGAGAGATTGAATGCATGCA